TACATTTATCTTACATGTCCAAAATTTTCCAAATTCATAACATAAATTCCTCCTGCGGCCAGAATCTTTGGTTTTAAACTCGCTACTACCATAATCGATACCGATTTCTTCGTTTCCTCAGACATCGCATACCAATTGCAATTGTAACTGAGAAGAAATTTAATTGTGAAGAAAATGAAATGAAGTACTTCAGATTCCATAATACATACATTTTCACCGATAGTAGATTGCTGTGATAATATAAATTTTCACCTGGAAAACTCAGATAAAGCAAGTGAAAACACAGGCCAGTAGCGAAGAAGGTATTTCTAGATACTTTGACCGGTTCTCCCAATGTTTCGATAAACTAGAACGATTTAATTGCGTGTAGTGTACGTCCTCGTAGATGTTATATGACATGAATACTCACTGCAAATCCTGTTAGACTGAGTAATACCGCGTTAATTACAAGAGTGACAGCATACATCATATTAACTGCCGATTGTACGTAATTTACCAATCTGTTGAGTTATAATTGCTTGATAAGATTACTATCACTATCACTATATGTTTAATAATTACAAGAGACATGATTTATGGAATTAAAAGAATATGGATTTAAATTTCGCGGGGATGTGACACCTGGTGGAAACCATTTTGTTGCAAGCATTGCGACAACATGTCGCCGCTAGCTATTGAATCGCGGAAAATGAAATTATTGTCTCGATGATTTTCGAACATCCAATAAATGTATTAAAGAGAAGAATAATTCGGAATTGCATGAGGATGTGGTATTATTTTAAATAATATTATAGTCATTACACAGGCTTACAATATCATGTCTATATTCTCTATATTTTCTCTATTTGAATATATACCTGACAGCTGCGTAATGTGAAGCTATAGCATCACAAATGATTTCATGTTGCCGGGTAACAGGAAGATCCGTGTGAATTCGTTGCAATATGTCTCTACAATATGTTTTGAATAAACACATAAATAGTATGTTTCGGTACTAGTGCGAAAATTGATTTTCAGCGTATGGAATAAAATCTTCCACAAGTTGAAAAACACTTTCCGCATGAGTGTAGGATTATAGCGTTAGGAGCGTATTTTTCATCATAATGCATGAAAAATATTATCCGGTTGGATTGGGATTTTTTTTTTCGTGTGGTTGGCCGATTCTAAACTTCGACCCGAAGGCCAACTCCACACGAATAAAAAATCTCATCTCAATAGTCCGGAAATATACTATTTCTGGCCTCCGCTGCGCGGCTGAGAAGTTGCGATTTTTTGGGTGGTTGGACAGAAAAATCGGGGACATACCTCGGCCGGTAAAAAAGAAGGGACTCGGCCAACGATTTCATACTATCTGAGACATTTCCTTTTTACTGACCTAGGCATGTAATATACTATTGTCATAGTGTGATTTTTTAAGACTGCAAATTGTAAAACTATCATGCAATATTATATTTCATACAGCATGATGAAAAAGCATTGCCCTTTAAAAAATAGAATATTTCAAAGAGATTCACCCAATAATTTCAAAGAGCCCACAACAATGTTCGATTACCATTACAATAAAAATATCGATTGATATCACGTATGTCAGCATCAATACACAAGTCGCTAGATGATGAATTCGGATTGGGAAATCATTGTCACTTACATCGAAACCGTAGATTGAGTGATCGGTCTTTATGGCATATAAGCTTGCTCGTGTTTCATTAAGAGGAACGAGAATGT